GGAACACTACGGCCTTGGGGAAGAGTGGCTGGAGGGCTGCCTGGCAGAGAGGGACCTGGGGGTGTTGGTCAACAGCCGGCTGAATATGAGCCAGTAGTGTGCCCAGGTGGCCAAGAAGGCCAACAGCATCCTGGCTTATATCAGGAATAGTGTGGCCAGCAGGAGCAGGGAAGTGATCGTCCCCCTGTACCTGACAGGAGGTTGTAGCAAGGTGGACGTTGGTCTCTTCTCCCAAGTAAGAAGTTATAGGAGAGGAAATGGCCTCAAGTTGCACCAGGGAAGGTTTAGATTGGACATTAGGAAAAATTTCTTCACCAAAAGGGTTGTCAAGCATTGGCATAGGCTGCCCAGGGAAGCGGTTGAGTCCCCATCCCTGGAGGTATTTAAAAGATGGGTAGACGTGGCACTTAGGGACATGGTTTAGTGGTGGAATGGCAGTGTTAGGTTAACGGTTGGACTTGATGATCTTAAAGGTCTTTTTTAAACTAAATGATTCTAAGACTGATTTGAGGCTTTCTAAAGTAGATGGTTAAACTCAGATTTTCAACTAAAATTTGGCAGTTTTTTTCCCAGAAAATTCAATTTACTTAAAAAAAAAAAAGGTTTCAACAGGAATTTTAATTGCCTTTTTTTATAATTGCTTAAGTGTAAATGTAATGTTTGTGAAATGTTTCATTCAGAAATACTGTTTAGAGACTTAACGATTAGTGTCCTGGTCTGGGCGGGATAGAGCTAATTTTCTTCAAAGTCGCTTGCATAGAAACACTAGTTATAAGAAATAGCTCAAATTGGGGAATACCATCCTTCGAACCAACATGGCACAGGAGCCCAATGCCCAATTCAAAACTCCTTCAGCTGCCCGCCTTGCCTTTTTCCACTTATAGGACTAGTTACCAATATGTGAAACGCTGGTTTCATCACTCACTGGAAACCATCCTAACCCAAACATTAACCCCAAAACATGACAGTTTTCAAGAAGTTTCTAAACAACCTCTGAAAGGGATCGGCCGCACAACGCTTCCTCCTCTTCCTGGCCTATACACAGTGCTCTCTGGCTGCCTCCCCATCAAGATGAAGGAGTAACATGAGATCTGATGGCCTTGGAATGGACTGCAGTTGTGTGACCTGCCTCCCTCCTCATCCATCCGACCTTTCATGGAAGAACGATGCCAACTCCTGCCTACTCATTACAGCAGAGAGGAGGGAGGGAAATCCTATGAGAAACACCTTGCATTTCCACAATTAAACCAAAGAAAACACCCTACCTTTATATTGTCCTTCCCTGCCTATCCAAAAGAAACAGTGTAAAGCAACCTGGTCTAGTGAGAGATGTCCCTGCCCATGGGAGGGGAGCTGGACTAGATGATCTTTAAAGGCCCCTTTCAACCCAAACCATTCTATGAATAGCTGTTGACTGTGCACCAAATACTTTTCCTAAATTGGGACATTTCAAAGGATATGGCAACTTTGCCGGCTTTGAGCTGTCATTTGCATGGGGGTGGCTTTTCAGTGCTTGCTACCAGTGTTTATTTTATTCCTTTTCTAGGGAAAGGACTCTGTATTTCTCTCTGCAGTGCTTAAGATGTTCTATAAATGCTGAAGCTATACTGACAGTACATGAAAATACTCTAAAGCAGTAAGATTTCTCACTTTTCCAAGTGGCCAGTGTGGGTTTGAGCTGGAGTTTCATGGTGTTTGCTTTGATCAGGACGGAGTATGGGGGTTCACTTTAAAAGCTAAGACTGAAACCTCATTAAGTAAAAGCATTTTAGCTTGTTTGCAGGAGAGCCCATTATAACCAGCATTTGAATGGACTCAGCAGCCCAGTGTGCATTCACAATTGACTAATGCTTTGTCTAGGACATTAGTTCAAAACATCTTAGCAATTAAAACGATGCCAAAATCTCACAAGTTATGAAATAGCAGCCTTTAAATACCAAAAATTATATTCATTTTTGGAGTTTCATAGGCCCATAAGGCCTAGATGTCTGTAAGGTATAACATTTAAATATAAAACACATTCAGAAGGAACTCAATTTTCTAATTTTTTTCCACAAACAAAAGCACATCAACACAATTATGATTAATTTTCATCATAAGCTTTGTGACAAGATTATGCTGAGTCAAGCTGTTTCTTATTATAACTGAGGCATCATGGTGCTTGATTAGTAGTATATACTAAAAGATGTATCTACACGTTAGAAGCTGTATTTTCACACTAATTTGACCCCTACTGGGCTGTATGCTGGAGAGGTGAATAAGGAGGAATGTTTAACACAGGGAGAAGCAGCAGCAAAGCCACCAAGTGATGCACCAAGTGATGAAGAGAGCTAAAGGCTTGTGTCTTCATGATGCACAAAAAGTAAAACAGTATTTGATAAAGGAAACTTAGGAAGGAAAGCAGAGAGTCATGTGGAACATGTGAATAAGATGTTCATCATTTTGAGATGCAAAGAGAAGACAGACAGTGCCTGTCCATAGAATGGTATGGGTTGGAAGGGACCTTTAAAGACCAGCCAGTCCCACCCCCAACCCTATTCCTGCAGAATGGATTTTTACCAGCAGTGGTTTGGGTGGCATGGAATGGAGCTGTACTACTCTGGAGGAGCAGTCTGGGATGTAGCTTTTATGAGGGGTAAAAGTAGCAATTTTAGAAGGAAGCTGGAAAACCACCGGGGAAGATGTCTGGCATCATGATGCCAAGGGGTATCCCATACTCCATCTGGGTGCTTCTCCTTAACTGTTTGGACAGAAAGCTCTTAGGAGGAGATGTAACGGATGTAATTCTCAGGTACGCATGTAAAAGGACAGCTATACAGGGATGCTTTCTACATTTATTGTCAAATTAATTCCTCCTTGGTCTCCACTGACCAAAGGCCTGTCAGCCCACCCCGCAGAGCCAATCTTTTTATTGTTGGTCATTTCCCATGGACATAAATGGTCTCTTACTCCTCACAAGCACGCAAACTGATGCACTACCAGCTGGCATCCACAAACAGACAAACCAAACTAAAGTTATTCTAAGGTGAACAATTTTCTAACAGAACAACGCAGTTAGAAAGCAACCCCACAATTTAGATCCAAACCAAAGCCAGCGCATCCCTTCGTCTTCTATTTATAACACTTAGAAAGCGGCATGTGCAGCTGGATTACGGTTCCTTCCCTTTCACCATCTGGTGCAATTTAGTTTTTCAGCCGCCTGAACGACTTGCGCGGTCTGAAGCTGCCTGACGGGAGGATTTGCTGGGACGGGCTGTGTTTACACAGGCGAGGAGGTGCTAACAGCTGACTTAGCAACAGGCACAGTAATTTCTGTGGTCACCGTTTGCACAGCTGTAACAACAAAGGAAAGTACTATCATTCGATAGGTAATGTTTATTACTCAAACACTAAAGCATGGTTTACAAATCCTGTCCCTTAAATAAATGCCAGCATATATGAATGGCACCTGGGAAACGGGATCTAACTACGACCCCAATAGCTATACACCAAGAAATACTCTTAATTTAACTACTAAAAAATAATTTCACAAGTGTGTTTTGAGGTGATACCAGGAAAAAATTAACTTGCTTCAAGGTATGTCTCGACAAGCTGTAAGGTTTAGATTTTAAGTGCTTGAGAGTCAGCCAT